TTGCAACCACGATGTAGACCGGGGGGTTGAGGAAATGCAGCCTGGCTGGCACGTCATGGGCAGCTGCAGCACCCAGACACATCTGATAAATGCATACGCAGTATCGATAAAGGGGACTCCCCCCCCCCGCCATACACACACAACCCCCTGGAGATACTCACTGAATCCTCGTTTGGAAATTTTTCAGGAGCTTCTGGTTTTACTAGAAAAGCCTCTCCCCATTGCTCACTGCTCCCTCAAATCCACTGGGACATCCTGAAGCAGCAGGGCAGGTGGGGAACTGCAGGCCAAGGATAGTCCCAGTGTCCTTGCACTGGAAGGGGCATCTCTGCCCAAACGAGAAAGCACACAGCCACAGGGAAGCCGCCGCTCTGCAAATACTGGCTAAAGGCAGAGGTGGGAAAGAGCAGTCTGAAAAGCAGCCAAAGTCCGTGGCCCTTTGAACTTGCATCATGCCAGCCAGGGGAACCAGCCAACTTTCAGTGCAAAGAGCCCTCTCAAGCTGTGGCTGAGCAGCACAGCCAGGAATGGATGTGTGTGGTGCATGTGTGCGCGTGCGCGCCCCAAGGAAGTGTGTGCTTCCAAGGGCAAAAAGCTGGTTTTAGGTGGAGGCAATGTGGGACACCAGTGCATATCTGCATATGGTTGAAAGCAGTGGGGTTTCACAGTGCTGCAGCAAGAGCCCAGAGCAGGACTAGTGGACCCAAAGCTCAGGTGCTCACCCGGAGTATGCAGAACCAGACACATGGTGCAACTTGAAGCCCAAGTGGGAAATCCCGGTTAGCAATGTCACTGCAGGGGGATGAACCCATGTGCTGAACCAATACTTCAAAGAGGACAGGGAAGCTCAGGCAATTTGGACTCTGAAATGGTCCAAGGTAACCAGTACTGATGCAATTGTGTGTTCATACTCTAATGGCACTGGACATACACACACATCCCTCCGACCTCCCACCCCTTTGCTGCAGAACAAGAGAATTTGGGAATTCCTCCTGGCAAGAAGGAGCTTTACTTCCCCCAGCCAGTGCCTTTTGCTACCAGGCAACCTCTGACAGTCCAGGCTGATTAAATGGTGAACTGGTGGCAGTACACTGGTGATATTATTATGATCATGTAGCAATAGGAGTAAGAGACAAGCTTGCAATATAAATAGAAAAAACAGGGGGAAAGAAGAGTCAAAATAGAGAATTACAAGGATTTGGCATGAACAGTATTTTGCATACCTGATATTTCACTTTGCCTTGCCATTACTGTCAGGGTAGAGTGAACAGAGGGTGTAATACATAAGAAAAGGGATGGAAGAAAAGAAAAAAAGACTAAATGTATGTAAAAGCCACAGAGAAGGAAAAAAGATTAATCAAAGGTTAGTGAAAAGAGAAGGAAAAAAGAAAGAAAAAGCAAGGCACAGACAAATGACAGAAAAAAATAGTTTATGACTTTGGATGCCACAGATATTTTGGCCAGCCTTAGGACATGCATTTCAGTTTTTTAAAATCTAGTTGAAAAATATATGAGGTAGCAACGCATGGTGTGTGGGGAAAGTAAACAAGACCCATTGCTGGAGGCCATCCTGCCCTGCACAGGGACTATTATAATCAGTGTTGTTCACCATCCTCATCTCACTGCTTTTTTTTTTTTTGCAAGGTGGCCTTCAATGTCCCTATCATGGATAGGACTGTGCCGGTTGCTGCACAAACATGGGACACAAAATACTGCCTCCTGTGGTGAACTTATTGGCTAGGCAGTTAAAAAGTAGTAGTTTTTATACTGCTGGCAATTACCAAGGTTAACTTCCCTTTCTCCTACTGCCCCATCTCTCCTTGCCCCAACCTGCTGCCACGGTGTCAGCCGGTGCGTTATGTGTGTATCGCATTTGGCTGCCTACCTTGACCTGCCAGCCCATACCACAGGCTTGCTGGTTACTTCAAAAAGCAACTTTCCACCCCTGCATGCAGCTGCAGGATGCACAAGCAAGTAGCTCTTCTGAAAAAGGTATATATTCACACCCAAAGCACTGAGTTACTTCAGATGCAAGTTATACAGTCGATAATTTCAGTGGGCTGGATTCTGACTCCACGGTCATGGGGTTCAACATAGGTTTGGACTGAGATACCTGAAAGTGGTTCCACTCAGTTTCCCTACTATAAGGCTGATGGGATTTAGCAGCTATTGGATTTTGCAAGTACCAATAATTCATGGTAAGTCTTCGTTAGTATTCACCAATCTGAGTGTGCACTGGTGTATGCAGTAGAGCTTCCCCCAAGGCTAAAATAACTGTAAAGAGATGATTTCTCTATTCCACAGAATTTATCTTTGTCACAAAAATATAGCACGAATACCTGCCTTGACATAGCTTCTGTCGGTACAGACTTCATCTTTCCAAATAGCAAGATAGATACTTGACCAGTTGGGTTTTTTTTCACCTGCCCTGTGGTATTGGGCTACCACTTTCCATTATTTCCTCAACCCCTTTGGTGAATCTTTATAAACCAAATCTGGGCTTTTTTATATCAAACCTTTTTCAATCTTTTCTGAAATCATTCATGCCCACCCTCCCCATTCCCCTTGTAGCTCTCCACGTCTAACACTATATACAGGCACACACATACATCTTCCACAGTTCTTCTGCATCCTCCTGCCCTCTAGCTCTGACCTACTCTTCCCTGCTCCTTTTCTTCCTTTACCTTCCTCCCTTTCTCCATGTCCAGACTCATATCCCAGTGTGAGGTTCATGCAGCTAACTCCTGCCTCATGCTTCCTTTACACTGGGTCTCTCTCTCTCCAATGTCTGGTGTGTGGAGCAATGTGTCCTACTCTCTGACCTCTTGGAAGTAGCCCCAAAGGTCCTACTAAAGGACAAACCCCTCAGCTGCTGTGCTGTGTCACAGCCCTCCCTGGCTCATGCCTGGCATCCAAAGAGCGGATCCTGGAGAACATCTGATCTCTGGTCACGTGGAGTGAGCCCCGATGGGAAGCCCACCTGAGGCTGAACACACAGCAGTGGGAATGGAGGTGGGGGGGGGGGAGGCAGAACCGAAGACGATGTGTTGACGTGCGAAAATGAAAACAGCAGCTGATGTTGATCGGGAGGCTGTTAATTCAAAGCATGCTGCTTGTCCACATTGGGTGCAGATAGAAACAATATGCTGGAGAGCTGCTACGCGCCGGGGTGGGACTTGTAGAGGCCAGCCT